GATCTGATGAGCATTAACTCATATTACGCGATCATATCTCTATGAATGAATGAATGGCAGAGACGCGCGTTTTCCTTTACCACACACACACTGAAGCGCACGTGATGCTCGCGGTGATTTCAGCATCTGCCATCTCAATGAGGACATAAACACACGAACAACATCTCCAGAACTGCTCTGAGAGTCACTTCATGACCGTTTCATTTGAGCAAAACTAGCGTCATATCATATAAACACAGAAATGTAAAGGTATTCACGGAAACCCGTCAAAATAAAAGTCCGGTTTAATATGAAGACATTGCAGCAGAAATATATTACTATTGTTCAGCAGAATGTACATACTACTACTACTGAAATTATGAAAACTTTATTTTTAAAGGACCCCTTTGTTTGCCAAAAAGTTACATTTTCAATAATTTAAAGATAAATTATATTGTATGCCTTCAATTGATAACCAGATACACAACACAGAATTTCTGAGGAAAAAGAAAGCATTTAGGCTATTTTAAGAATAAATAACAATAAAACATTAGGTGAGAGAAAATAAAACATAACTTCATAATTGTCATTTTCTTTAATCATAGCTATAAGTATTATAACACCTAAAATATGTTGCGTGTAAAAAGTGTTTGTTTCAGCCACTTGAAGGGTGGGTACATTGTGTGCACATGATCAGGATGGTACCACCTCTGGCGCATTTTGAGAAAGGAAAACCCCTGTTTGTAGGACTATACATTATTTGGATAATTAGTCAAAAACAACAACAACAACAGTTATGTCTGATTCTGTTGCATAGAACTGAATAAAAATAATACATTGATATTTAATATTAATATATTTTCTGTCCAATTTTCTTTCAATAAAAGTGTGGTTATTTTATTGTCTTGTGTTTTTTAAATTCCGTGTCATTAAAGTTGAGTTAAATTAAAAAGTCTTACAAAATTACTTTATATTATTTAATAAAATAAATTATTTTTACAAAGCATTTTCGGTTTCGGTTTTCAGCCAAGCACATCCAGAATTCTCGGTTTCGGCCCAGAATTTTCATTTCGGTGCATCCCTACCATTTACTGTAACTACATACAGAGCACTGTGTTTGCAACCACATGCTCCTTTAAAGGATTACACACACACACACACACACCAGTATGCAGAGAGACATATAAGAGGGTTTATTCTCCAAATAACTTTAAATTAATGTTGCTGAAAAGTGTGTTAATAAATGTTATGTGTATGGACTCTTGTTTTTGTTCCACATTAGCTTCCTGCCCACTAGTTTTTGCCTCTTACAAAAGCCACAAAGCCTTCTAAGAAGACAGTAAAGGCTTATGTCATGCCTGAGCTGTAGTTAGGCTGAAACTTGAAAGTTAAGTTGCACAATGTTTAGGTTTTATTATTATTATTTTATTACTATTATTCTGATTTATGTCTTAGTTTTTGGTTGTACTATGTTTACCTTTTTTTAAAGTAATTTGAAATTGATTTTTATATTTTTATATATTTGTATTTGCATTTTGAATGTAATATGGCAATTAAATGCACTAAATGGGTTTAGTTTTCACAGTTATTAATATATGCAATTTCAGCAATAAAAATTAATCTAAAAAGGAAACAAATTACTTGTTCATTTTAAGAGACCTGTCTTATTTTCTCTTGTATATTTAGTATTGCTCTTTAATAAAGAAAAAGTTCTTCTTATCCGATTACTCGATTAATCGATGGAATTTTCGGTAGAATACTCGATTACTAAAATATTAGATAGCTTCAGCCCTAGTAAAATCCTCCCA